GTCAGTGGCAGAAACACTTAATGCAGAGTTGCTGGTCTCAGAGGCCATTCCAAGAGTATAGCTGACCAGAGAGGTCAATTTTATAGTAATATATGGCTTTAAGAGAATTTAAAGTAATATTCTTCAAAAGCTACTTCTTTTACCCAAGCCCCCTGTGTTTCCTCCATGTGTATTCAAGTAACACCCAATACTTTAAAGCCAACACTAAAACACTATTTTCTCGATGTTTCCCAGCAATTTATAATTCCGCATCTATGAAAGGCAAAAAACCATAGCCATTATTAATTTTTTAACCATAACAATCATCATATGGTTTCTATTTCATCCGCCCCACCCACCTTCGCTTCTTTCAGCATCTGTAAGTATAACACAATATACATCCCATGTGGATGTTAAGCCCTTCTTAGATTACCACATCATTTCCTCTGTGATCAATCATTTTTTTCTTCTTCTTCTTCTTCATCTTTAAACTGCATCCGGTATCCGTATGGGTGCTGACTGTTTTCTTTCTTTGTTTGGCTTTTTGTTGATGATGCTGTTTGAGCATTTACTGGCTGATATTTTCACTTCATAAATAACTTAGTATCAATCGAGCACACATTCATATATACATCGACACAAAAGACCATCTATTTGTCTTCTCGAGTGCCATGTAGAAGGCATCCAATACGAGAGTTGGTAAGGAGGACAACATGGCAGGAGGAAAACCTCTAACTAAACTATAAAGCTGCCACAATAGCCAATAAATCCATACGATTTGTTTATTTGAATAACATCAAAATGTAATAAACAAAAACAACAACGCTACATGATATGTGGAAAAATAAGTCAAAACAAAACTCCTCTCCTCACATGGGCTCCTCTTTCCCATCTCACTTCTTCTCGTTCCTTTTGGGGGGGAAAGTTCATGCCGAGAGTTGTTGCTGTTCGAAATATTAGATTTCCTCAAAATCTTCTCTCCAAAACAACCCAAATATCTATCGTCAAATTTCATGGCATGGCGTACCAGATACTCGTAGCTCTGCATGAGATTGCCTCATGTTGTTTCAAATTTAAATTGAACCAGTTACAATTAATCATATCAGGCATTCATTCATACGTTCATTGCTGCGCTCCGGAAAAAGGGGGAGAGGACAGCAGGCCAGCAAACAGCATAACATCATATTGTGTCGATGCAAGTCCAGACTTTTAATCACACTACATGAGGTAAGACAACAACACCAAGAGCACACCAATCACCGGGAAAAAAGAGAAAACAGCCATTCCTTGAAAACAATTCCTGTAAACTTCAGGTTTTCAATCGACAAAAATTTCAAACACAACCAACTGGCCCATGGCCATGTCTACAATACCTTGGCAATCGAAATCGAAATTAACTCTGAATGCTGGGCAATTCTAAACTGGAAAAGAAAAATGCACTTTTTCTTTTTTTTTTCTCCCCATTTTCCGACCATTCCAATAGAAAGGTAAAACATGCAATGAACTGCTATGTTTTCGAAACAGTTGAAGTACATACTTCGTATATCCGACATAAGTTCGGTTTGTTTGGCCTGTTCAATAGCTTAGTTCCTGAAATTCTATTGATTGGCACAAAAGTTGCAATGATACCTTCCAGAGGTATGTACATATGTGGAACAAACATCTGGGCCAAAACAACATTTAACACTGAGAAAAAAATGTGCATGGAATATTTTCAAAATCTTGTGAAATTTAGTTTTTCCTGAATATTCAAATTTTGTTTGGAAAATTTGATAGAAGATCTAACAAAACAGTTTGTTCATAAGGTCGATATTTATAAAGAGGAATTTTTTATGGGGATATCGTTTTTAATTTAACAAAAATTTTCATATAGAATTTTCGTTCAGCTACCTTCGGCAAACATAGAGTCCGTTAAAATTAAAAATTGTCTTTTCCTAGAATCTCAATAGTTTTTTTATATTTGATGTTTTACCAACATTTTTTCTTGAGTGTATTCGAGTGATTTTACCTTCAATGAATGGAAAATGTTGCTCCAATGCCATCAAACAATGATATACGTATACACAAATGTTTTGCAAACGGGCAATAGACGATGACTTACCTTCTGAAAGGTATGAGCAATTGAGACAATCTTGTATTTATTGTTTTCAAAATCAAGGTACCCTCAATTTGGTTTTTTAACAATGCAAATGAAAGAAAAATACGTACTCTATTTTTTCCTGTTTTCTTAATTTGATGCCTATTGATGAAAATGTCAATTAGCAGAATTTTGAAAGAAAGAGAGAGAGAGAAGGAGAGAGAAAACACAATAATGAGAAATGAAATTAAAAAGGGGCCAGCTACTCAGCTGTATTGGCCTCTGAAACGATAAACTCCACTATTTTGGCACCTGAGACCAAGGACTACACAGTGGAGGCCTTCGGTTCCCTACATAGAACTCAGGGAACTGTCACTCTACAATGGATGCCTTTTAGAACAGAACAATGACTCTTAAGACATCCCAACGTAGAGACATCTGAAAGCCGTCAAACTACAGAAGTAGCCTTCGAGAGCAACAACTTTACAGTAGTGATTACTAAGAGTGGTATCCCTACAACAGTTACTGCTGAGAGCGACATCTTGAAAGCAGATACTGCTGGGAGCGGCATTTCTATACCAGTTACGGCCGAGTAAAGTAAAGGCCTTTGACGTCTACCATTCTACAGCAGTTGCTTCCCAGGTCAGTTGATCCACCGTAAGGTCCTCTGAATCTATATTCTCCTAACTAAAGGTCTCTGATTCCAGATAATCCACAGAAAATGCCCTTGAGGGCAGCTACTGCTGGGAGCGGCATTTCTATATCAGTTACGGCCGAGTAAAGTAAAGGCCTTTGACGTCTACCACTCTACAGCAGTGGCTTCCGAGGTCAGTTGATCCTCCGTAAGGTCCTCTGAATCTATATTCTCCTAAGTAAAAGCCCTGATTTTAGATAATCCATAGAAAATGCCATTGAAGGCGGGTACTACTGGGAGCGGCATTTCTATATCAGTTACGGCTGAGTAAAGTAAAGGCATTGAAGTCTACCATTCTACAGCACCGTAAGGTCCTCTAAATCTATATTCTCCTAAGTAAAGGCCTCTGATTCCAGATAATCCATAGAAAATGCCTTTGAGGGCAACCACTTCACAATAAAGATCTCTGGGGTCAGCTACTGGCCTCTGACCCAGCCATTCAATAGTAGTGGCCACTGAGGTCAGCTACTCTACAGTCGTGGCCTCTGAAGCCAGCTTCTATACAGTAGTGGCCTCCTAGGCTAGTTACTCTACAGTAGTAACCTCTGAGGCCAGTACTCTACTCTAGGGTCCTCTGAGACCAGTACACTATTCTAGGAAACTCTGATACAGGTACTCTACTCTAGGAAACACTGAAGCCAGCTACTCGACAGTAGTGACCTCTCAGGCTAGCTACTCGACAGTAGTGAGCTCTGAGGCAAGCTGCTCTACACAAGAAATCATTGAGCTTAGCTACTTCACAGTAAAGAGCTCTTGGGCCAGCTAATATACAGTCGTGGCCTCTAAAGCCAGCTTCTCTACAGTCGTGGCCTCTTAGGCCAGCAACTCTACAGTGGTCGCCTCTGAGACCGGTACTCTACTCTAGGGTTCTCTGAGGCCAGCTACTCTACAGTAGTGGCCTCTCAGGCTAGCTACTCGACAGTTGTGAGCTCTGAGGCCAGCAGCTCTACAGAAGAAATATTTGAGGTCAGCTACTTCACAGTAAAGAGCTCTGGCATTAGCTACTCCACAGCAGAGGCCTCTCAGGCCATCTACGCTGTATTAGTGGCCTCTGAGGGCAGGTACTCCATAGTGACAGCTGGGACCTTCTACAATAGTGACCTCTGGCGTCAACAATTCCATAGCAATGACCTTTGACGTCATTTACTCCACGGTAGAGGCATTTGATGCCAGCTAATACATATTTAAGGCCTCTATAGAGGCCTCTAGCCCCGCTACTCCACAGCAGATGCTTCTAAGGTCAGCTAATCCACCGTATAGTCCTCTGAGGCTTTGAACCCCTCAGTAGAGGACTCTGATGCCAGATAAAAGATATTTGAGGAGAGCTACCTCAATGTCTACTCATAGAAAAGCTGAAAGTTCTTATCATGGAAGAACTGAAGATCTTCTTATTGAAGACCAGAAGGGTAGCTACTTCAAGGTCTACTCATAGAAAAACTGAAAGGTATTATCATTATAATTGAAGACCAGAAGTTCTTCTCATAGAAGAAGAAAAAGACTTCTCATAGAAGACCTCTAGGGTCAGCTAGGTAAAGGTCTCTGATGCCATATAATTTCTGTAACGGCTACTACAGCAGTTGGTTCTAAGACCAGTAGGGCCACAGTAGAGGCCTCTGAAGATAGCTATTCCAGAGCAGTGGACCCGAAAGCCAGCTACTGTACAACAGAAGTCTCTATGCACAGAACCTCGTCAGTAGTGGCCTCTGAGTTCTGAAAATCCAAGACGATAAAAGCTACGATAGTGTCATCTGGGACATGCCACGTTACAGTTGAGGAGTTTAAGTCCAGCTACTTTACAGAGATGACATATGAGGCTAGCTACTCCGAAATTGTACACATTAAGGCCAGTTGCTCAATAGTTTCGGTGCCTTAAAAAAACTACAGATGAGGCCTACGAAGTCAGTTATTCTATGGTTTTGGTCGCATTCCACGGAAGGTCACTTTGTAGCCCCCTAATCCACAGGATGTTCCCGCCTACACCTCAAAATTCAAAACAAAAACAATAATTTAAAAGCTTTCCTTTAAAATTTAATATCCTCAATCTTCTCGCCCGACCTCCTTGGTACCGTTTTCCACATAAAAGTCAAAATAATTATTTAACATTTGATATGACAGTTTGAAACACAAATACTTCTTCCAACTAGGAACACTTGCCACAAAACGTGGAAACACAAAATGATAATAATTTTCATTTAAAGACAAAAACGAAGGGAAAAATGTGGAGAGATGACAAAAACTTGGTATACTTACATCCATGTTGGTACGCCCTGCAGACCCTGGACCGGGCTCACATTTGTCGTAATACCGGCCACGATGATTATAAATGTTGTCGTAATCCACAATGAAAAATGTTTCCTTTTAAGAAATTCCATTTTTTAAACTTTTCTATTTCACCAATTGTTGTACTCCACTAGAAGATTTTTGCAGAACGCAAAAAACCCAAGATATTGCTGCTCCCGTTTTGGATGGGGAGGGCAAAGACCGGTTGGCTCGGTGGCTGGCTGATGACGATTGGGTACTTCGTTGCTGTACAATACAAAAGAAAACTGTCACCGTTGGCGTTTCTTTTTGAAGCGGATGGGGGGGTGACCGGAATGGGAATATACAAAAGTGAATGGGAATTTTCTGGCGACGAGTCTTAAGTAATTTTTAAGTATGGCAATTTTTTTTATTTGGTTTTGTGTTTTTTTTTTTTTTTCTTGGCAATTGCACTACAATGAAATTTGGGGGGAAAACAAAGACTTTTGGTGTGTGTTTTCCGAGAGAATTGCTTGTTTCCACTTCGGGGCAAAAACGTTTAGATGATGATTGTGCCAAATGAAAAACAAAAGAAAACCCGACAATTTTTGCACTTTTTCAAGCTTTGTTTGTCGGCAGAAACAAAAACACGAACGAAGTAATTGTTTATTTTTCTCCCGTAGATGTTTGCGAGCGAAGGAGGAGGTCAGCACTTGCCAAACTTGGTTTAGATGGTATCCGCCACTCTTTTTGACCACAATCACATGTTATTATTTCCGTTTCGAAGCACTTGCCTGTTCGTTTATTATTTCTTCTTTTGGCTTTCTTTGAGATCATAAAATATTATTAATCACTTTTGTACGCTTTATTATGACGCATACGAACGACACAAAGTAAAGACAAGCACACACACATACATATATACACACTTTGTCTTACGACTTTTCCGATTGTTGTGTGTGTCTAGTTATTATTGCCCGAGTAAATAAAAAATGATTGGTTATTATTTACTTTGGTAGTCTCGTTGCGGTTGTCGTCATTTGAAATAATTTTTCATTTTTATTTTATTTCTTTTCCTTTTTGCCCTTTGTTATGTTTCATTTTTATCTGTTCTGTTTCACGTTCTGGATTTTTCGCTTCGTTTCACGTTTATTATTTAATGGACGCGACCGTTTCCTGTTTTGCTTACTAATGAGATTCCGGACACTTGTTTGCTTCGGCGGCCAGTTACTAGTAATGCTAAGAGTCCAAGTGTCATTTGTGGTTTTAGGAAATTTTTTTGTTCAAGTCACCGAATAGTTGGCTTTCATCTGCAAAGAAATGGAGAAAAAGAAAACAATTTATTAAAAAAATAAGGAAAATATTTTTGTAGAAAAAAAAAGAAAATGTTAAGAACAACTAAATTCGGGGGCCGACGCTGTGGAGTAGCATAACCGAGGGGAACTTGGCCAGAAAGTTAGATTTTAAAACAGCAGGCCTCAGAGGGTATTACTTAGGAGGATCTAGTCTGAGAGACCAATGCTTTGAAGTAGGTGGTCCCTTTGGTCGGTGTTACCAAGTAGTTGGTGCAAAACAGAAACCTTATAGTATCAGTGGCCACAGCAGTAGATTAACCGACCTCAAAGGTCACTACTGTAGAGTAGCTGGATTTGGAGGCCAATGCAGTAGAGTAGCTGACCTCAGAGGCCACTACATTAGAGCGGAGTCCACTGCTCTAAAGTAGTTAGCCTCAGTTACCACTGCTGACCTCCGAGATTGTTGAGTACCTGCCCGCTGAGGCCACTACTGGCCGCTGAGACCACTACTGTAGAGTAGCTGACCTCAGAGGCCACTACTGTAGAGTCGGAGGACACTGCTCTAAAGTAGTTAGTCTCAGTTGCCACTGTTGTACAGTGGTTGGCCTCTGAGGCCACTACTATAGACTAGCTGACCTCAGAGGCCCCTGGGGCCACTAGTACAGAGTAGCTGGTAGTTGACCTCAGAGGCCACTACTGTAGAGTAGATGGTCTCAAAGGCCACTACAAGTTGATTACCTGCCCGCTGAGGCCACTACTGTAGAGTCGGAGGACACTGCTCTAAAGTAGTTAGCCTCAGTTGCCACTGTTGTATAGTGGTTGGCCTCTGAGGCCACTACTATAGACTAGTTGACCTTAGAGGTCGCTACAGTAGAGTCGGAGCCCACTGCTCTAAAGTAGTTAGCCTCAGTTGCCACTACTGTAGAGTGGTTGGCCTCAGAGGCCCCGAGTGTAGAGTTGCTGACTTCAGAGATTGTTGAGTACCTGCCCGCTGAGGCCACTACTGCAGTGTACCTGGCCGCTGAGACCACTACTGTAGAGTAGCTGACCTCAGAGGCCACCACTGTAGAGTCGGAGCCCACTGCTCTAAAGTAGTTAGCCTCAGTTAACACTGCTGTAGAGTGGTTGGGCTCTGAGGCCACTACTGTAGACTAGCTGACCTCAGAGGCCCCTGGGGCCACTAGTACAGAGTAGCTGGTAGTTGGCCTCAGAGGCCACTACTGTAGAGTAGATGGTCTCAAATGCCACTACTGTAGATTACCTGGCCTCAGAAACACTTACTAAAGATTATATGGCCTTAGAGGCCACTACTGTGGAGTAGCAGGCCTCAGAGGCCCCATTTGTAAAGTAGTTGTCGTCAGAGGTCACGGCTATTAAATAGCTGACGTCAGAAGCCTTCAGTGTGGAATAGTTGGCTTTAGTGACCTCCACTGTAGAGTAGATTGCGTTAAAAGGGGTACTTTTGAGTTCCTGCCTCAGAGCAGAGTAGTTGTTCTCATATGTCCCCACTATGGTGCAGCTAGCCTCAGAGCCCGAAGCTTGATCGTGCTGCCTCCAAGGTCACTGCTGTTGATTACCTCAAAGACCACTGCTCTACAGTAGCTGTCGTCGGATTCTATAGCCTCTGAGGCTATTTCTTTATCATAGCTGACTTTAGATGTCGCTGCTCTTAAGTAGATGACGTGAGAATAGACGCACTCAGAACGTGAAACATTTTAAAATTGTGGACCTTATCTCTCACACTCATCATGCCATGTCCCAATGGGCACATCAACTCTTCTCATATTTTACGATAATGTTAACCCTGTTCCTAAATAGCTTGATCACCAGATGAAAGAGATATCTCAAAGCTCTTTTGATGAACTGCCACAAAACCTATCACATGACACATTTATTTCTCCATATGCCAGACTCTCTTGCGGAATTCCCACAGCGCCCACACTCTCGAAAATCTGGACTTGTCTGTCAACAATAAATACTGGAATTTACAACACAATATTTTGTTGGTTGTTCTGGCGTGATGTCTTCCTTTAGTACTTTTTCTGTCAATATTTCGTGTAGTTAACCTTTCAAGCACTCCTCCCACCCCTCTATTGACTAGTCATTAAGATAGCACTCTCTAGAAAAAAAAATCAAAAAACAACAACAACAACAACATCAGCCGTACATCTTAAAGTCAAGTACTTGTAAATGTGGCAATGCCAAAGATCACTAAAAGGAAAAGCATCAATGCCCAGTCATTTGGATGAGACCCAAGCAGCCGCAGCAGCAGCCAGACAGACGTTCGAGCAATGCCCGCCGGCCATGCTGGCACGGGCACTGGCACTTTGTCTCGGGAATGAAATATGAAACAATGTTTACAAAGAAGAGGAAGAAATATTTTTTAAGAAAGTCTAAATAGTTTATATAAATTTATTAACTATAAAATAATCTAGTCAAGCGTTCAGACAACGGGAAAGTAAAATGGCCAGATATCCAACATGAGTGTGGCTGTTGTGGTATGGTTTGGGAGGGAGGGTGATTGAAAAAGAGACATAAACAACATAAAAATGACAAATTTAAACACTTGTAAATGTTGGTTGTTGCTTTGGCTCTTGTCGAGGCCCCAACAAAGGAGCCGCACAGTTGGAAAAATCACCGAAACGAAAATAATTTATCATTTGACAATAAATATATTCAGACATTTTCTTCCTTAATGATGGGTTTGATGCCATTGATTTATGGCAAAACGGAGGAAACTGAATATCACAAAGGAGATAAGGTATTTGGAAAGGAAAGAGATTAAGAATATCGAGAAATCTTAAATATTTAAATTTGGAATTGTAGATTGGTTAAATTTGTATGAATTTTGGTTAAAATTGAAGGAGAGAAAAATTTATTTTTCATTCTCCACTCTGGAGATCTAATATAAATGTTTCGATATCTCTAGATAATTCAACAGCGTACTTGGCCATTTGCAGTTGGTCACCAATTTTTTTAATTTTGTCAAAAGAAATTATCCTAACCCTTGTGTAAATCCTTTAACAATAGAGTTTGAAAGTTTTCCCAAGTCCATTACTTAAATTTAATTTCTATTTTTTACCTATAGTTTCATGCCACTCCAAAACTTTTTACGATCATTATCCTGTTATCCAAATATATTGTTTTCTATTTTCTAAATCTCTCTACTATTAAAACGCTCCCATATGTTTGAATTCGTTCAAGTTTCATTTGTATTTCATTAAGTGTTTCTCACACTTCATGTTCGAATTGAAAGCCTTTTATTAAAATCGGATTAACTTAAGTGGTGTGCTCAATGGCAAAAGGAAAAAAACAGCAAAGAAGTGGAAAGCAAAAATCTGAGAATTTTTATAATGGCCATTGTTTAAACTTTAAGTCGCATCGAGTGTATTGCGAATAAACTAACAAAGCCGTATTAATATAGTTTTATGCTTTTAACCCATTTGGGAATGTATAGGGTACCAATACAGGAAAAAAACTAATGATTCGAAATAATATGATTAAGTTCCTAATTTGTTATTCAATTATGAAAAAATTCCCAACATAATTTGTATACCCTCCACCATGTATGGAGGGTATATTAAGTTTGTCATTCCGTTCGTAACACCTGAAAATATATATTTTAGACCATACAAAGTATATACATTCTTGATCAGCATAAAATTCAATGTCGATTTATCAATGTCCGTCCGTTTGTGGAAATCACTCTAGCTTCCGAACGAAATGAAGTAAGTTGATAGAAATGTGTACTATGCCTTTTGGTATTGAATATGGGCCATGTAGGTCCACGTCTTCCTATAGCCCCCATATGACGATACCTCCCGATATGCGGAATTTTGATGATATTAGCGGCATTATTTATCGGAGCTATTTCAAATTTGGTACTTGAAGTTCTCAATGAATACTACAGCCTATGACAGAAAATTGTCTGTGCAGGTCCACGTCTTCGTTTAGACACCATTTAACGGCACCCCCGATATTCAGTATTTTGATGATTTTAGCGACATCATGTACCGAAATTATTTCAAATTTTGTATTTGCAGTTCGTAATAGATACTACATCCTATGTCAGAAAATTGTCTGTGCAGGTCCGCGTTTTATAACCCCCATGGTACCTCCCTATATCCGGTATATTGATCATTTTAGTTATATTATAAACATATTTTTTTCAAGTTTCGCATTTGAATATTGTAATAGCTTATGACAGAAGTTACCTATGCAAGTCCACGTAGTCGTATAGACCCTAATATACGGCTACATTCGGTATTTTAAGATTGTAAAAGGATTTTTAACGGATTTTATTTTTTTAAAAATTGCCAAAATTGTACCGAGTGGTCGAGGGTATACAAAGTTCGTCCTGGCCAAACTTATAGCTTTTTACTTGTTTTTTAAGATTTGCTGCTGTTTTTGTAGCAAGAGAATTTCATAATAATCTTTGTTCCAAAATTATTATTTTTTTGCTTTTTTTTTTTTGAGAAAGAGAACCTCCCTTCAAAAATTCCTTTTAAAATTTAGTTTTGAAAAATTATCCTAAAAAATACAAATACAAAATACAAATTCCTAAAATAGTTCTCAGGGCTCACAGAATCTTTTTTGAAAAAATGGTTATTGGTATACATTTGTTAATGTATTTTATTCACGAAAATTGTTTCAAAATGTAGTTTTGTTAGAAAATACTCAATAGAAATGAGAGTACATTTTTCCTAAAGGTAGAAGTAGCCAAATAAAGGGAAATGTTCCTAAAATACATAAACAAAATTCCTAAAATGAAATACTCAATAAACAGAGAGGGAGAGTGAGTTAATGTTCCTCAAATGTAGGAAAACTCAAAAGTAGGTAAATGTCCTAAAAAATGAACCAATTTCCTACAGTTAAATGCTTACGAGAAAAGAGAGCAAATATTCTATAGCTAAATGTCTCTTAAATATATGAACTTATTTCTTTAAATTTAATACTTAATAGAAGAAAGAGAGAGAGAGTAAATCCTCATGAAATGAGAAAAGTTAGTAGTATCT